CCCCAAAACCCCAAAACCCCAAAACCCCAAAACCCCTTGTTTCAATAGTTAAATTGAATATAGTTCTCAATTTTAGCTGGAAAATGATACGTCTTAGCACTGGAGAGGGATTATTCAGCTCCGTATAAGGCATCAAGAAATTCTTGGTAGGACACTAGTCCATCTTGGTCTCTGTCAAGAGATTCTAGAATTGAATTGATCAGTTCTGGATCATGAGTAGTTTTTAGTTGTTGGGACAAGAAAACTTCAATGTCTTCTTCATTGCACTTAACATTTTTATCAATCCCTAATTCTTGGAACATGTAATCAACTCCATTAGGATGCATCTGGCTCATCTCATTCTGGATGATCCGTCTCTGCTTGACTGTGTTTATGAGTGCCTTCCAAAGCTCCTTATATAAGTTGTGCCAAGAAGTATCATCTTCATCTTGATCTCTATTGAAGTTTTTCATATATGTAGGATAAGAAGAAAAGTCTCTTGATGGTTCAAAAAAGGACATATCCGACAGGACCAGTTCGTTCTCATTGACGTATGCTAGCCTTCCTATGATGTCTTCTACAACGTTTTTATCAACGAGTGAGATTTTCAGATTGGTTCTTAAGGCATTATGAAGTCTTGAAGCATCAACAGATCCCTTTTCGGGATTCAGAATCTCGAAGCCAAACCCAGCATTATAGTTTGGCTGCATTCAGAGAGTGTTCTTTACTGTATTCTCATACATCTGGAGCTCTCCATATTTTACTAGCTTCAAGGCGACTTGCTTTAGACTTTTGTTTCTTGCCTCTGTTCTTGAGCCTCTCTCAATTCCTCCTTGGCTTGAGTTGGTGAGGTATTTTTGGAATTTCATAGTTCCAGATCGGGGATTCTTAATAGTTGGACTAATTTGATTCCTATTTACCTTTACCTCTGTCATCCTAGAGAGAAAAGTTTAGTACAAGTTTTTGAAATATGTAACCTACCTATACCCTTTTTCATTATTCGCTAGACTTAGCTTATTAGGAGAGAAGAAGGAGTTCTTGTTCTTTCTGGTCTTATCTTTTGTTGCAGAAAAGCCAGAACTTCGGAGTAAACTTCTTTTTCCCTCTGTTGGAATACTATCGACATAATCCAGCTCTTCAAAGTCAGCTGTGTCATCATATATTGAGTTATTAGCACCAAACGAAGGGCTCTCCCTGGAGGATGATCTTCTGGATCTTTTTAATGATTTCCTATTTGAACCTGATGAACGATTTCTCTCTGTATTTTCATTTACAAGCTGTTTGAAAGACACAGATTTTCTGTATGCACTAGATTCTCTATCTGCCTTATTTAAAACTTGACCTGTTGATAGACTCTCTGGATTTGTCGGGAGATCTTCTAGATTGCTCGATACCATCTACAATGAAAGTATCTTTGATATTGTTAAATTTAGAGGTGCTATTTATCAGCGAATCTCTCTTCTCTGAGTTATCTCCATTGGAACTTCTCTGAATTGATTTTCTATTAATAGAGTCTCTATTGATATCTTCTATTATCTTCTTTTTGAGAGAACTTCTACGATGCGAAAGTGGCCGGCTGGTCTCCCAAAAGACTTCATCCTCTTGCTGGCATAAGTCTCAATCACAGTTTTCAATATTATCATTGAACCTATGCTTAGTGAATCCTTTACGGTCAATTGTTGGGTTTGGCTCAACAGATTGCTCATCTTCATCAAATAATCTCCTCGAGACAGTCATTCTTGATGGATCGAAAGTGTCGTCCATCCCAACTGTGTCATCTCCTTTTCTTGGGGAGGAATGGCTTCTATATTTTGAGGCTGAGTTGTTCGCAAGTGTTTTGCGATACTCTTTGCCGCAATTCCATTCCTTTTTGATATATTGATTCCCTATTTTTACTACATTTGAGATGTTTAGTTCTCCTTCTTTTTCATTGAAGTTTACTATTGTGTCGATATAACCCTCTGTTCCTGGACCACCAAGTTTACTAGCAATGTTATGCTTAGTCTCATCCTCTTGTCCATCATCAGATCCTTCGTAGAGCTCTATAGTTTGAGGAGGAACTTGGGATTCTTCTGTATAAAATCTTGATTCTTTTGCCAAGCGTTCTGAGTATTTAGCATCAAGTTCGTAGTGAGTGGGATATCCTAGATTCCGTGTATGCCTTGCATCAAAGACGGATTGATATGCCCCTCTGTTTATCTTGTGGTCATACTGCATTTTCTCATCATCAACAAAGCTGCGGCAGCGCTTCATTTCAGCTCTTTCTTGGGCTTCTCGGGCTAATCTTTCTTCAGTTATGTGATTTGAACACAGTCTCTCGACCAGTCTGGGCCTATGCTCCATATAATTCATGTAAGAACGGGAGTAAGCAGACTCAAATGCTGGAGACCTTGAACGCACTGGCCTAACTACATCTATTGGAGGTGGCTGAGGCAATGATAAATACCCTAAATGTCCATGTTCGCACCGATTCATTTTATTTTGCACTATTTAATTTTATTTCAAACATCGGTGGTTCGGAGGGGTTTTGGGGTTTTGGGGTTTTGGGGTTTTGGGGTTTTGGGG